CGATACTGTGCTCACAAAAATCCCAAAACCCCACATTCTACCCCCAAATCTTTAGTGTTGGCCACAAATCTTGACCATTTTCCCCAATCTCCCCAATCATTGTCTCACCTCACACATTTCCATGCGGCTTTCAGAATTAGAAATTATTCTCAAAGGTTCATCCCCAAAACCCTGCCCTTTGTGCCTCAGATCTCAGCGGGGTTCACTTGTTACCATTGGCTCCAAACTCAGCTGGTTCTGCCCCAAATCTCGGCTCTTGGCGCCAAACCTCAGCTCTTGGCTCCAAGGCGCAAACAAGGCTCTCAACCTTTGGTGCAAATGGTCAAGATTTGGGAAAAAAGGGCAAGATTTGGGTCTGTGGGGGTCAACAATGGGGTCAAGGATAAGAGGGAAGGATCTGGTGAACGGGGATGGGGACAGGAACAAAATTAGGACCAGCAGCATGAGCCTCCCAACCCCAACCATCATAGGCGTTTTTGCCACAGAAATAGGATCCGGAATCCTCATCCTTGAGGTTGTTCATGGTCAGCGTCACCGAGCTCTGTCCGTTGTCCCTGGAGATCGTGACCCGGCCCTTGACCGATGGCGCGTATCTGGGGGTGGAACCATCACTGTTGATCCCCGTGACATATTTCAGCCCCTGCCCGGGTCTATGACGGATCCAGAACATTGCAGATTTTGTGAAATTGAAGCCAGAGGTGCGGCACAGCAACATCAGGGACCCCCCGGCGGGCTGGAGGTTCCCCCGCACTCCAGCAGGGTCACAGCCGCCCGGAGCTCTGCGGGACAAAGGGGAGATGGGGATGAGGAGCTGGATTGGCTTTGCGGTCAAAGTGGGCGCTGCCATTCCAGAAAAAGGGTGTGGGATCCACCTGGGAGGGACAGCAAATTCTGCAGGAGGTGGATGAATTCCAAGGGTCCCAATTTGTGGCCAAGTGTCAGGATTTAGGTCAAGAGTTGAGCTTTGGCTTCATCCCTATCTCCCCTCTGTCCCGCAGGGCTCCGGGCGGCCGTGACCCTGCTGGAGTGCGGGGGGGACCTCCAACCCCCCCGGGGGGTCCCTGCGCCTCCTCTGCCGAGGGTCCGGGTTCGATTTTGGCAGTTTTGGAATGATCTGGATCCGACAGAAAACTGGGAAGACGCTGGAATACATTGCGAGTATCAGCAGTGGTGCTTACACCGACTAAGTGGCGTCGGTCAAGAGCCGGGTCACGATCTCCAGGGACAACGGGCAGAGCTCCGTGTCCCTGACCATGAACAACCTCATGGATGAGGATTCAGGATCCTATTTCTGTGCCAAACGTGGTACTGGTAGTAGTTACGGTTATGATAGTGCTGCTCTTAGTGACAGTTCCGGCAATGGTCCCACCCGCCATGATGGTCACCAAATGTCCCCAATCCCAGCAGATCCGTTCCCAATATCCCAGACCTTCTCCTCAGATGTTCACCACTTACGCCCAAACTCTGGCATTGCTGCCCCAATTTCCCACTTTCTCCCAGTTTTGCCCATTCCACCCAAATCTCCCCCAGCTCCCCAGGCCCTGATTGGAGCAGGCCTGAACTGGAGGCCAGGGGTGAAGGTTTGGGGCCAATGGTTGATTTTTGGGGCAGGAGCAGGGGAGGGTTTGGGGTCAGTGCTGACCATTGGTGCAAATGGGGGAGATTTGGGACAAAGGGTCAAGGGCTGAGGTTTGGGGGACAATTTGAAGGGACAGTCTCAGTTTGCAGACAAGTGAGGACACAGAGATGGGGATGGATCCACCACAGCCATCGTCACTATAAGCAGCAGTACTACAACAACCACTATCAGCATGTTTGGCACAGAAATAGGATCCGGAATCATCGTCATTGAGGTTGTTCATGGTCAGCGTCACCAAGCTCTGCCCGTTGTCCCGGGAGATCCTGAACCGACCCTGCACCGATGGCGCATAGTACGCGCTGGAATCTCGGCTCCTGATACTGACGATGTATTCCAGCCCTTGGCCGGGTCTCTGGCGCATCCAGTTCATTCCAAAACTCCCAAAACTTAACCCGGACCCGCGGCAGAGGAGGTGCAGGGACCCCCCGGGGGACTGGAGGTCCCCCCCTGCACTCCAGCAGGGTCACGGCCGCCCGGAGCCCCGCGGGACAAAGGGGAGATGGGGATGAGCCCAAAGCTCAACCCTTGACCCAAACCCTGAACCTTGGCACCAAATTGGGACCCTTGGAGTTCATCATCCTCCTCCTGCTGCTCCTGCTTCCCCTCCCAGGTGGATCCCACCCCATTTTCCAGTTTAACACCCCCACTTTTACCTCACTGCCAATCAGTTTTCTCATCCCCATCTCCCCTTTTTCCCGCAGGGCTCCAGGCGGCCGTGACCCTGCTGGAGTGCGGGTGGGACCTCCAGCCCCCCGGGGGATCCCTGCGCCTCCTCTGCCGAGGTGCCGGGTTCCGTTTTGGCAGTTTTGGGATGGATTGGGTTCGTCAGAGTGCCGGGCAGGGGCTGGAATGGGTCGCAGGGATCAGGTACGATGGTGGCAGCACCTGGTACGCGGATTCTGTCAAGTGTCGGTTCAGGATCTCCAGGGACAACGGGCAGAGCTCGGTGACGCTGACTATGAACAACCTCAAGGATGAGGATTCCGGATCCTATTTCTGAGCCAAATGTGCTTCTGCTGGTTGGGGTGCTTATGCTGCCGGTGCTGCTGTTGGACCCCATCCCCATCCCTGTGTGCCCCTCCCACCCCGTTCCCTCGATCCTACCCTTCAGCCCTTGACCCCATTGTTGACCCCCATGGACCCAAATCCAGCCCATTTTCCCCAAATCTCGGCCATTTGCACCCAGGTTTGGGAGACCTTGGTTGAGACTTGGAGCCAAGAGCTGAGGTACATGGCCAGGAGCTGAGATTGTGGTAGAGCCAGTTCAGAGCTGGGAGAGGGGACAGGAACGGGGTCCGGGGCTGGAGTTTGAGGGAAGGATCTTGGGAACGGGTACAGGAGGGGACGTGGGGACAGGGACAGGGCCAAACCTATCAGCAGCAGCACCACCACCAGCACCAGCAGCTTTGGCACAGAAATAGGATCCGGAATCCTCGTCCTTGAGGTTGTTCATGGTCAGCGTCACCGAGCTCTGCCCGGTGTCCCTGGAGATTGTGAACCGGCCCTTGACCGATGGGGCGTAGTTTGTACTGCCACCAGTGTTGCTGATGTAGGCGACGAATTCCAGCCACTCCCCGGGTCTCTGGCGGATCCAGTGCATTCCATAATCCCCAAAACTGAACCCGGCCCCTTGGTAGAGGAGGTGCAGGGACCCCCCGGGGGGCTGGAGTGCCCCCCCGCGCTCCAGCAGGGTCACGGCTGCCCAGGACAAAGGGGAGATGGGGATGAGGAACCTGATTGGTCGAGAGCCTTAAAGTGGGTGTTGCCTGATGAAAACACGGGGAGACCAACCCGGAAGGGCCAGCAGGAGCAGCAGGATGACAAGAAATTGTAATGGGTGGATTGGGGCTTATTGAAGGGTTGAAGGCACTTTACAATACTGGAAATCGCTGTTGGAGATGTGAGGCCAGACAAAGGGAATTTGAGGAAAAACCGGTGAAGGTTTGAGGATGGGGGAGCGGCCGTGACCCTGTTGGAATGCGGGGGGGACCTCCAGCCCCCTGGGCGGTCCCTGCGCCTCCTCTGCCGAGGGTCCGGGTTCAGTTTTGGCAGTTTTGGGATGGGCTGGCATTGCCAGAGACCTGGGCAGGGGCTGGAGCCAGTCGCCAGTATCACCAAAAGTGGCAGCACCTGCTACTCGCCATCGGTCAAGGGCCGGGTCATGATCTCAAGGGACAACGGGTAGAGCTCGGTGGTGCTGACCATGAACAACCTCAAGGACGAGGATTCCGGATCCTATTTCTGTGCCAAATCTGCTTATGGTGCTGGTGCTCATGCTGCTGCTGATATTGACCCTGCCGGTGGTGGCACCACCATTTCTGAGCCCTTCCTGTCCCCAGTCCCCAGACCCTTCCCCAAATTTCAGCCCTTGACCCCATTCCTGACCCTTTCCCCCAGATCTCCCCCATTTCCAGCAACACCAACCACGAAGCCGAAAAGGCCCTTACTTGTTCTGCCCCAAACCAAAGTAAGTTGGCACCAAAATTCGCCCCAAATCCCCACGTTCTCCTCAAATCGCCCCCAGCTCCTCGGGCCTTGATTGTCTGAGCTGGCAAAGGTGAAAATGGGAACTCTTGGAGAGCAAGGTCAGACCTGGAGCTCAGGGGTGAAGGTTTGGGGCCAGTGGTTGAGCTTTCGGCAGGAGCTGGGGAGGGTTTGGGGTCAGTGCTGACCATTGGTGCAAATGGGAACAAAGGGTCAAGGGCTGGGTCAATGGGTGACATTTGGGACGAAAATCAGAACTCTTGGGACTCAATGATGGGAGTGGTGCCAGAACCAGGAGCTGGAGGCCATAACGGGCATCATCAACATAACCAGCACTAGGAACACAACCAGAGCACGAAGCTTTCCCACAGAAATAGGATGCGGAATCCTCATCCTTGAGGTTGTTCGTGGTCAGCGTCACCGAGCTCTGCCCGTTGTCCCTGGAGATCCTGAACCGGCCCTTGACCGATGGTGAGTAGTAGATGGTGCCACCAGTGCTGTAGATCCCTGCGACATATTCCAAACCGGGCCCGGGTCTCTGGCAGATCCAATACATTCCATAATCCCCAAAATTGAACCCAGACCCTTGGCACAGCAACGTCAGGGACCCCCCGGGGGGCTGGAGGTTCCCCCCGCACTCCAGCAGGGTCACGGCCGCCAGGAGCCCTGTGGGAAAAAGGGGATGAGAAACCTCATTGGCTGTGGGGTCAAAGCGGGTGTGGTCTGCTGGAAAATGGGATGTGACTCACCTGGGATAAGGATGATGAACTCCAAGGGTCACAGTTTGGGGCCAAGAATCAGGATTTGGGTCAAGGGTTGAGCTTTTGCCTCATCCCCATCTCCCCTTTGTCCCGCAGGGCTCCGGGCGGCCGTGCGCCTGCTGGAGTGCGGGGGGGACCTCCAGCCCCCCGGAGGGTCCCTGACGTTGCAGTGCCGAGGGTCCGGGTTCAGTTTCGGACAGTTTGGAATGCACTGGATCCACCAGAGACCCGGGCAGACGCTGGAATACATCGCCAGCATCAACAGCAATGGTTCCAGCAGCGGCTACGCACCATCGGTCAAGGGCCGGCTCACGATCTCCAGGGACAACGGGCAGAGCTCGGTGACGCTGACCATGAACAACCTCAAGGACGAGGATTCCGGATCCTATTTCGGTGCCAAAGATGCTGATCGTTATGCTGCTGCTCCTAATGCTGGTTGGGGATGGGGTGATGTTCACCGTCAGTATAACCAGCACCATAATTATAGTAAACAGGAGCAGATCTGGCGCAGAAATAGGATCCAGAATCCTCGTCCTTGAGGTTGGTCATGGTCAGGGACATGGAACTCTGCCCGTTGTCCCTGGAGATCGTGAACTGGCCCTGCACCGACGGCGCGTAGAAGGTGTAACCCGCACTGGCGTAGTAGATGCTAGCGATGAATTCCAGCCCCTGCCCGGGTCTCTGCTGGGTCCAGAACAGGTCAAATTTGTCAAAATCAAACCCAGACCCCAGGCAGAGGAGGATCAGGGATCCCCCGGGGGGCTGGAGGTCCCCCCCGCACTCCAGCAGGGTCACGGCCGCCCGGAGCGCTGCGGGACAAAGGGGAGATGGGCATGAGAAACCTGATTGGTTGAGAACCTCAAAGTGGGCGTGACCATCGGGAAAAAAGGGGCAGGACCCACCTGGGAGGAGGATGATGAACTCCAAGGGTCCCAGTATTGGGACAAGAGTCAGGATTTGGGTCAAGGGTTGAGCTTTGGCCTCATCCCCATCTCCCCTTTGTCCCGCAGGGCTCTGGGCGGCCGTGACACTGCTGGAGTGCGGGGGGGACCTCCAGACACCCGGGGGGTCCCTGCGCCTCCTCTACCGAGGGTCAGGGTTCGATTTCGGGAGTTTCTCCATGTACTGGATCCGCCAGAGACCCAGGCAGGCTTTGGAATACTTCGCAAGCATCTACTACAGTGGTGCCAACACCTACTACGCGCCATCGGTCAAGGGCCGGGTCACAATTTCCAGGGACAACGGGCAGAGCTCTGTGACGCTGACCATGAACAACCTCAAGGACGAGGATTCCGCCGTTTATTTCTGCGCCAAACGTAGCAGTTATGATTATGTTTCTGCTGGTCCTGCTCGTATTGACAATTCCTGCCGTGGCCCCAGCCCGACTGCAGTCCCAAGTGCCCACAATCCCCCGAGATCTTTCCCCGACTCCCAGCTCTGTTCATCAAATCTTCACCAGTTCTTTGCAAACTCTGCCCCTGCTGCCCCAACTCTCGGCTTTCCCCCAGTTTTGCCCATTTCACCCAAATCTCCCCGATCTCCCCGGGCTCTGTTTGGAGGAGGCCTGAACTGGAGGCCAGGGGTGAAGGTTTGGGGCCAATGGTTGATTTTTGGGGCAGGAGCAGGGGAGGGTTTGGGGTCAGTGCTGACCATTGGGGCAAATGGGGGAGATTTGGGACAAAGGGTCAAGGGCTGAGGTTTGGGGGGAGGGTCTGAGGACTTGGGGCATTTGGGAACCCCTCAAGAAAGGCAGGGCTGAAACCAACATCAATAATATAAGCTTCGTAATGAGAACCAGCATAAGGAGATTTTGCACACAAATAGGATCCGGAATCCTCGTCCTTGAGGTTGTTCATGGTCAGCGTCACCGAGCTCTGCACATTGTCCCTGGAGATCCTGACCCGGCCCTTGTCTGAATCCGCGTATCAGGTGCTGCCACCATCGTACATGATCGCCGCGAGCCATTCCAGCCTCTGCCCAGGACTCTGACGAACCCAATCCATTTCAAAAGTCATGAAACTGAACCCGGACCCTCGGCAGAGGAGGCGCAGGGACCCCCCGGGGGGCTGGAGGTACCCCCCGCACTCCAGCAGGGTCACGGCCGCCCAGAGCCCTGCGGGACAAAGTGGAGATGGGGATGAGAAACCTGATTGGAAGTGAGGTCAAAGTGGGGATGTTAAACTGGAAAATGGAGTGGGATCCACCTGGGAGGAGCATCAGGAGCAGGAGGAGGAGGATGATGAACTCCAAGGGTCCCAATGTGGGGCCAAGGTTCAGGGTTTGGGTCAAGGGTTGAGCTTTGGGCTCATCCCCATCTCCCCTTTCTCCCGCAGGGCTCCGGGCGGCCGTGACCCTGCTGGAGTGCGGGGGGGACCTCCAGCCCCCCGGGGGGTCCCTGCGCCTCCTCTGCCAAGGGTCCGGGTTCAATTTTGGTGATTATGGAATGTTCTGGATCCGCCAGAGACCTGGGCAGGCGCTGGAATGCGTCGCAGGGATCTGGAGCAGTGGTTCCAAAACCGGCTATGCGCCATCGGTCAAGGGCCGGTTCACGATCTCCAGGGACAACGGGCAGAGCTTGGTGACGCTGACCATGAACAACCTCAAGGACGAGGATTCCGGATCCTATTTCTGCGCCAAATGTGCCGGCAGTAGTTGTGATTGTGATGCTGTTGCTTTTGGTGACCATGGTGTTGGTGGCTGTGGTCCCAGGCCCTCTCCTCTCTGTGCCCAAGTATCACAGAATTCTCTGATCCCTCCCCAAATCCCAGCCCTTTCCCCCAAATCTCTGTCATTTTCACCTAAATTCTGCCATTGCTGCCCCAACTCTGCCCTTCCCCTCAGTTTTTATCATTTTTCCCCAATCTCAGCCTTCTCCTCCTCGCCCTTGGAGAGTTTGCCCAGAACCATGCCCCAGTCCAACAACAAGCACTGAGCCAAAACCCCCAAACGGGTTCTGTCCCAAACCCTCCTGCTTTGGCCCCAAAACTCGCCCGATTCTGCCTCAAATCCCCACTTTGGGCTCCCAGGCGCACCCGCTGACCCAAACCTCACCCGCTGTCCCCAAATCTCGGCCCTTTGGGCACTTTTGGGGCACGAGCGGGAGATTTGGGGACGAGAGCTAAGTTTGGGGCCAGACCCAGGGAATGGTTTGGGGCCAATGGGCAGCGTTGGGGCAAAGGGGGTGGGGCTGGGGCAAAAGGTCAGGGGTGGGACAGGGGGGTTTGGGAAAGGGTCTGGGGAGAGCTGGGGACAGGGACGGGGCTGAAACCCCAAACACCAACCCAAACACCGGGAGTGAAACCAATGGCATCGGCGGCATTCCAGCCACCATAAGAATCCTTGGCACGGAAATAGGATCCGGAATCCTCGTCCTTGAGGTTGTTCATGGTCAGCGTCACCGAGCTCTGCCCGTTGTCCCTGGAGATCCTGAACCGGCCCTGCACCGATGGCGCGTAGTAGGTGTAGGAACCACCCCAGCTGATCACTGCAACCCATTCCAGCCCCTGCCCGGGTCTCTGGCAGATCCAGCCCATCCCAAAATTCCGGAAACTGAACCCGGACCCTCGGCACAGGAGGCGCAGGGACCCCCAGGGGGGCTGGAATTGCCCCCCGCACTCCAACAGGGTCACGGCCGCCTGGAGCCCTGCGGGACAAAGGGGAGATGAGGATGAGGCCAAAGCTCAAACCTTGACTCAAATCCTGACCCTTGGCCCCAAACTGGGACCCTTGGAGTTCATCATCCTTCTCCCAGGAGTGTTCTATCCCCTTGTCCAGCTGGCCACGCCCACTTAAAAGCCCTAGACCAATCATACTTTTGATTTCCATCATCTCCCCTTTGTCCCGCAGCGCTCCGGGCGGCCGTGACCCTGCTGGAGTGCGGGGGGTACCTCCAGACACCCGGGGGGTCCCTGATGTTGCTGTGCCGAGGGTCCGGGTTCAGTTTTGGGAGTTATGGAATGTACTGGATCCGCCAGAGACCCGGGCAGGGTTTGCAATACGTCGCAGGCATCTACAGCACTGGTGGCACCACCTACTACAATCCATCGGTCAAGGGCCGGTTCACAATCTCCAGGGACAACGGGCAGTGCTCGGTGACGCTGACCATGAACAACCTCAAGGACGAGGATTCCACCGTTTATTTCTGCGCCAAGTGTGCTGCTAATAATTACTCTGAACATGCTGCTCGTAGTTACGATCCCCATGGTGTCCCCATCCCCATCCCTGTGTCCCCCCCCTCCCCATTGCCCAGACCCTTCCCCCAAACCCCCAGCCCACACCCAGCCCTTGACCATTGATCCCAACCTTGCTCTGCCTTGGCCCCAATTCCCACCCGCTGACCCCAAATCACAACTCCTGACCCCAAATCTCTACTTTGTTCCCCAAAACTTGATTCTGAAAGTGGATACTTCTGGTCAAGGGTTAATCTCGGTCAACTTTGTGGTCAAGAGTGGAGAATTTGGGGCAGAGCCAGAGCAGGGTTGGGAGATGGCGTCAGAAATGGGGTCAGGGGAAGAGTTTGGGAGAAGGGTCTGGGGAACCCGGACAGGTGGGGACACAGCCATGGGAAAGGGGTCAAAACCATAAAGAGAAGCTGGAGCATATTTTCCTTCTGGAGCTTTGCCACAGAAATAGGATCCGGAATCCTCGTCCTTGAGGTTGTTCATGGTCAGCGTCACCGAGCTCTGCCCGTTGTCCCTGGAGATCGTGAATCGGCCCTGCACCAAATCCCCATAGAAGGTGTCTCCATCGTAGTCAATCCGTGCAACCCATTCCAGCCCCTGCCCAGACATCTGGCGAACCCAAATAAAACTGGTTTGTCCAAAATCAAACCCAGACCCTCGGCAGAGGAGGCACAGGGACCCCCCGGAGGGGTTGGAGGTCCCCCCCGCACTCCAGCAGGCTCACGGCCGCTCCCCCATACACAAACCTTCACTGGTTTTGCCCATAATTCCCTTTGTCTGGCCCCAAACATCCAACAGAGGTATCCTGAATGGTAAAGTGCCTTAAACCCTGCATTTAGTCCCAATCCACCCACTGATTAATTGGACACCTCTGCCTTACTTTTGCATCGCCTCATCCCAATCTCCCCCCTGTCCCGCAGGGCTCCAGGCGGCCGTGACCCTGCTGGAGTGCGGGGGGGATCTCCAGCCACCCAGGGGTTCCCTGCGCCTCCTCTGCCGAGGCTCCAGGTTCAGTTTTGGGAGCTACAACATGTTCTGGGTGCGCCAGAGACCCGGGCAGGGGCTGGAATGGCTTGCGTGGATCAGGAACGATGGTGGCAACTCCGGCTACGCGGATTCAGTCCAGGGCCGGTTCAGGATCTCCAGGGACAACGGGCAGAGCTCTGTGACGCTGACCATGAACAACCTCAAGGACGAGGATTCCGGATCCTATTTCTGCGCCAAATGTTACAGCAGTGGTTGTGGTCCTAATATTGCTGCTGTTTATGGTGACGATGCCAGTGGTGGCCCCTCCACGATACTGTGCCCACAAACCTCCCAAAACCTCACATTCTACCCCCAAATCTTTAGTGTTGGCCACAAATCTTGACCATTTTCCCCAATCTCCCCAATCATTGTCTCACCTCACACATTTCCATGCGGCTTTCAGAATTCAGAAATTATTCTCAAAGGTTCATCCCCAAAACCCTGCCCTTTGTGCCCCAGATCTCAGCGGGGTTCACTTGTTACCATTGGCTCCAAACTCAGCTGGTTCTGCCCCAAATCTCAGCTGCTGGACCCAAACCTCAGATCTTGGCTCCAAGGCTCAACCAAGGCTCTCAACCCTCGGTGCAAATGGTCAAGATTTGAGAAAAATGGTCAAGATTTGGGTCTGTGGGGGTCAACAGTGGGGTCAAGGGTAGGAGGGAAGGACCTGGTGAACGGGGGTGGGGACGGGACCAAAATTAGAACCAGCAGGATGAGCCTCCCAACCGCAACAATCATAGGCGTTTTTGGCACAGCAATAGGATCCGGAATCCTCGTCCTTGTGGTTGTTCATGGTCAGCGTCACTGAGCTTTGCCCGTTGTCCCTAGAGATCCTGATCTGGCTCCTGAACGATGGCAAATAGTAGGTGCTGCCATCGCTTTGGATCCCTCCGATGTGTTCCAGCCCCTGCCCGGGTCTCTGTCGATAACAGCCCATCCCAAAACTGCCAAAACTGAACCCGGACCTCGATAGAGGAGGCGCAGGGACCCCCCGGGGGGCTGGAGGTCCCCCCCGCACTCCAGCAGGGTCACGGCCGCCCGGAGCCCTGTGGGACAAAGGGGAGATGGGGATGACGCCAGAGCTCAACCACTGACCCAAATCCTGACTCTTGGCCTAAAACTGGCATCCTTGGAGTTCATCACCTTCGCCCAAGGAGGATTCTACCCCTTTGTCCAGCTGGCCATACCCACTTGGGGGCCCTTGACCAATCAGACTTTTGATTTCCATCATCTCCCCTTTGTCCCGCAGGGCTCTGGTCGGCAGTGACCCTGCTGGAGTGCGGGGGGGACCTCCAGCCCCCCGGGGGGTCCCTGCGCCTCCTCTGCTGAGGGTCCAGGTTTGATTTTGGGAAATTTGCAATGGGCTGGGTTCGACAGAGACCCGGGCAGGGGCTGCAATTCATCGCCAGCATCAACAGTGGTGGTGACAGCACCAGGTACGAAGGTTCAGTCAAGGGCCGGTTCAGGATCTCCAGGGACAACGGGCAGAGCTCGCTGACGCTGACCATGAACAACCTCAAGGACGAGGATTCCGGATCCTATTTCTGTGCCAAATCTTCTGGCGTTAGCACTGCTCTTACTGCTTTTTATGGGTGGTTGGGTTGGTGTTTGGGGTCCTGGCGCCGTCCCTGTCCTCAGCTGTCCCCAGACCCTTCCCCAAACCCCCCTGACCCACCCCTGACCCTTTGTCCCAGCCCCGCCCCCTTAGCCCCAACGCTCTCCATTGGCCCCAAACCCTCCCCTGGGTCTGGCCCCAAACTCAACTCTCGGCCCCAAATCTCCCCCTCGTTCCCCGAAAGATCTCAAAGGGTCGAGATTTGGGGTGAAAGTGGGCAAATCTTGGCACCAACTCAGTTGGGTTTGATGCAGAACCAGTCGGGGTTTGGGGTCTGTGGTCACCATGGGTGAAAATGGGGGAGATTTTGGACAAACGGTCAAGAATGGGGTCAAGGGCTGAGATTTGGAAAAAGAGTCTGGGCCTTTGGGGACAGGAGGGGACAATGAGATAGGGATGGATTTAACACTGCCCTCTTCAATATATTCAGAAGCATTGCCAGAAGCATCATAAGCATCCTTGGCACAGAAAGAGGTGGCGGAATCCTCGTCCTTGAGGTTGTTCATGGTCAGCGTCACTGAGCTCTGCCCGTTGTCCCTGGAGATCGTGAATTGGCCCCGCACTGATGGGCTGCACATGGTGCTGCCACTGGTGCTGATCCCTGCCACCCACTCCAGTTCTTCCCCAGGGTACTGCCTCATCCAGCCCATCCCAAAATTCCCAAAATCGAACCCGGACCCTCGGCAGAGGAGGCGCAGAGAACCCCCGGGGGGCGGGAGGTGCCCCCCGCACTCCAGCAGGGTCACGGCCGCCCGCAGCCCTGCGGGACAAAGGGGAGATGATGGAAATCAAAAGTCTGATTGGTCAAGGGCCTCCAAGTGGGTGTGGCCAGCTGGACAAACGGGTATAATTCACCTGGGAGGATGACGAATTCTAAAGATCCCAATTTGGGGCCAATAGTCAGGATTTGGGTCAAGGGTTGAGCTTTGGCCCCATCCCCATCTCCCCTTTGTCCCGCAGGTCTCCGGGCGGCCGTGACCCTGCTGGAGTGCGGGGGGACCTCCAGTCCCCCGGGGGGTCCCTGCGCCTCCTCTACCGAGGGTCCAGGTTCAGTTTCGGCAGTTTTGCGATGGTCTGGTATTGCCAGAGACCCGGGCAGGGGCTGGAATT